CATCGATGCAATTTATCTTACACTTGCTGTTCCCCGCGACTTCGCACACGTGTAATTTAGGGTTTTAATTTTTTTTTCTAATTCCTTTTCTCAGATAAAAGTCTAAGCCTAAGTTACTGCTTATAACATTGGCTATCTACCAGTTAAAGTCCCGTCAAATTCGGACCAGCCGTTTCGGAGATTAACCTGAACAGACAGACAGACGGACATAAATTTTGAAAATTGTGTTTGTTATATTTACCGTATATTGTTGCATATGCATTTAGTATTTGTTGTTGTTGTTTTGACATTACAAACAGACTCTTAAAATTTATTTATTTGTATAGATTTTAATTTTATTTCTTCTAAGCATAAAATCATGATTAAATATTTATTCCGCGGCTTTAATTAACCAACCTCAACTGCACGCGTTGCACCCAGTTGACTGAAAAATGAACCTGGCGATTGGCGCACGTCAATAGTGAGAAGTTATCCGTTCAGTGCTCAGCAATCCGTCCGGCGTGGTGAGTAAGAGCACATATTTAATCAGAAAATACGTCAAGTGAGGCGTATTCGTCCACACTTGACGTATTTTCTGAATACGTGTGGCCTACGTCCAGTAATGAATTTTAAGTTTTTTTAATTTTTTTTATTTGAATTTTAATTAATAAGGCCAATGTACATGTGTTTGAGTACACTTTCGTATAATATTTATATTTTACTTTAAAAAATTTAAGAAATTTATATACGTTTGAAGGCTACGGAAGAAATCAAAACTATTCATGTTTTAAAGTATAATAAAGGATACGATAACAATTTATTATTAAATCTCAAGTTCAGTTAACGTTAGTTGCTGCATAGCGGCGAACTCCACTCGAACTTACTGAGAAAACTGTTACTGAGAATGTTAATAAAACTCTTCACGAAGTTTTTAAAAGAAACTAGTAACAACGTTTCCGTAAACAATAGTTTCGCAGGATTTTTTAACTTTTAATATATAATGATTATTGCTTTATTTAAGACGCAACCAATATTTGTGCAAACACAAAAATATTTCTAAATAAAAGCCTTTATAGATAATACTGTTGGACACAAGCTTCCACTTGGTACATTCTTCAAAAGAAACTTGTAAAGTGCAAAAAGGATTACGTCATAATGACGACACGATGACACTTACCGACATGTCACTTGTATTTCCATTTGTCGCAATTATTAAATACAAATACATATCCCGCACATGTAATATAAAGTAAATTAATAACCTAAACCTATACTTGCCACATCTAGTACGTCTTTGACATCTAGGTATCATTCTTTCATTTCTAAAGTCATTGACTTTGTTTAATTATTGATAGGATAATGGAGCGAGAAGAAGCCGCTACGTTGCTCTAACGCGGGTTGACGGGCTATATTTTTATATGTATTGCTTAGTCATACATGTACCCGCACGATGTTTCTTTAGAAACGATTAATCAGCACTTAATTAAATTTTAAATGTTAGGTACTTATTCCGGCACCGAGAATAGAACTGGTGTCGCAGCCGAGTGTATTATGAATATTAAGACCAGCTCTCAGTTGAAGATAAAGTATCCATCTAATCATCCATCTATTACGGCCTAAAAAGTCCTTCTGAACATTAGGCCTCCCACATAGATTGGGTTATGGGAGGGGGGAGTGTTACCATAGTTGCCAAGCGTGGCTTTGGGTTCGCCACTACCGTTTTTATACTCGTAATCTGTAGTTATCAAGAAGATCCTGCTGCCCATTTCCCGGTTCAGTTTCCCTCTTTCGCCTCTTATGATATCTATGGGACTATATGGGCTAATAAATTTTCTTACATTGCCGCTACACGTTTAAATATCAATAGTAATTCTAAATTAATTGAATTTGATTCTAGTTTTACCACTTTCGTGTGATGTTTAAACATTAATCGTTAAAACTTGGCCATGGATATCAAAAAAACGTGGACAAAATGACTAATATGTAGTTTGAAAGCAATAACGGCGTTATGCATACAAATTGATCTTCCGTCGGAGGCTTACTCAACATGCACTCACAGAATACAGATGCTACTAAGTCGCTATCGATTTAGTTATCCGTTGTTAGTTGTACAGTTTCGGTAGTTATTGCTTGTACGCTAAGGGATACGGATAACAGTTCCTTATCGTGTCGGGGTAGGCCTGTAACCGAAAGTTCGTATACTCGACTGTGCAATTTGCCCACGTAATTGTCTTAATTGAGACAAACAATGCCCATTATCTTTGCCTTAGATAAACAAAAACGGAAAAAACGTTGGTTCCCCACAAAATTGTTAGGTACATAGATAAATTTCGTGGACAATCACTGGAATCCGCTGCCCCCACCGCCTATGATTATCGAGCCCTCCCTGGAAACTAAATGAATAAAACTAATTTTTTGGATCTTTTTCAGCGTCATGTCTTTTAATTCCTTGCGCCAGATACGCGGAGAATTAATCAAGAGGTTTGTCAGAATCGTGCCAAATGGATAAAGCCTTAAGTTTTATGAATATGATAATGGTTTTTAAATTCCCGCCATTTCGAACGCTTTAACCCACCCATGGTCACGGGGAGACTGAAATCATTGACGTCCTAATGTCATAGTTAACAGAAGGCTGCCTTAAATTTTTAAATATTTAAAAAAATAGGGGAGTGTAAATAAAAGTCATTAATAAGAGCCGGTGCACATTTTGTTAAGAATGTAAGCAATAGTGGGTGAGCGATACAACTCCTACATTTTCAACATCTAAAGATGAAATTAATCTGAGCAGCTGTCGCATACCATCGTCGTGATAGTTTCAGAACATACGGCATTCACAACACCTATGCTCCAGAAGCAAATATTGTAAGACAATGACAAATGCCAAGCGAACGGGACAGTTTAAAAAAACATCGCGCTTGCGTTCGTTTCCTGTTAATCCCTTCTCTTTAACACTCGGTATGAAGTGAATCTTATAATTTTTTTAGAGTAGTTTCCATCAACAAATAACAGCATAGGACGTTGGTTGAATGAATGATTTATTTTTGTTTCTTTATTTTAAAAACAGCGACAGACTAATGTGCTGTCAAATTTAAACGGCCGCCGTCTGATGCTGTAAAGCGACTATTATTATTTATTTTGACAGACATATTTTGACACAAATCGTTTCATATAATATATAGATTTTTTAATTTTATAAGAAAACAAAGTAACATTATATATATATATATATATATATATATATATATATATATATATATATATATATATATATATATATATATATAAATCTCCCGCTTAATGCAATTAATTGTTATATCCTTAAGTATAGCCACGCTGCAGCTATCTTATGGTTGTACAACGAATGGGTCGGCTCGACCAGGGACGGACTACGCTCTCACAGAATGCCAGTGTAAAGTAGCAGTTTAATGCTGATGTGTTTTTTATGGCGAGTGTTGAGAACCGGAGACCCTTTCTACTGGAAACGACGCATTCCATCTTAGTATTCAGGGGTGACAAGGCACCTGCATTTGATTTTTAATCGATGATAGATGTAGATGTCTATTGGCCACAACATCCATTTACCATCAGGTAGTCCACCTGTGTGCTCGTTTGTCACCGTATTGCTAAAAAAATCATTCAGATAACCCGTTTTTATGTTATCTCTTAATTTTATGGTTAAACTCCACATAAAATATTCTCCTACTTTCGTTGTGATTGTAAGCAATCAAAAAAATATTTAGCTATTTCTTTCGAAAAGACTCTCATCAATAAATGCTCTGGTGCTTCGGATCTTCGTGGTCTGCGGTAGTCACGTTACTATCCATCAGGTGAGCCGCATGCTAAGTTGTTAACGTGGCTAACAGTTCTAGATTCTGCAGGACATTTCCGCAAAAAACATTTTTAATAAATAACAAACACAAGGGCCTGCAAAAACTCTAATATGCGTATATCCCGTTCAGTTTAGACTGTGATAATTTAACGAATTCCAAACTTAAAAAAATAATGATAAAAAAATGCCATACTTATGATTCTTTTATTTATACCACTAATGAACATTATAGTCATCAATATTATGAACAAGATTTAGTGTTTTTTTTATAAATCATATGGTCAATTTTATATTGCCATTATTACCTATTTATAATTTTACAAAGTAAATCACTGCGTTTAGGAAAGTTCTGGTGTTTTACATAGCACAGTTTGCAAGCGCAGCGACAATGTTGAACGACGATGAACGGCCTGTTTAATCTATTAAACACAGCGCCCGTTCCCTAGTGACTCGTATGGTCAATTGCTACAGGTACTGGTAGGCGAATTAAACCCGTTTGTATAATGTGCAATCACGCACGCTTAGTAATTCAAATTCATTTACAACAAACGATATTTTCTATTGTTCTACGTACATTAGTTGTTCATCCAGCAGTAAAAATATACAGGTGATAAAGAACGAAACCATACAGGTGTCAGACAGATGTGTGCGTGAGTGCGTGTCAAAAATTGAGCTGGGTATCGGCTTCTACATCATTTGAAACGTACACAAAGCTCCGTCTATCTGTCTTGGTCTGAGCATCGTCATGGGGAAATCGACCAAGTGCATGATATATTTGCCAAATTCGTTTGCCGTGATGGCAGCTCCCATCTAAATTAGAAAATTACTTAAACGCGATGTTAGTTTTTTAATTCTGATATAGGTACAGCAGACTCACGTTAATTCGAAACTAGATCGACTCTTAAAATATCGCGAATTATCGAGTGTTCGAAATATCAAATGGTTCGAAATTTTTGAGAGAAAATAAATAAAACTTCGAATTGTTTGGAAGTGTTGATCAACTATTATTTATTAACTGCTATTCTTTATCAATGACACAAGTTTAGAGGTACATTCGTGTACATATTCATAATGTGAATTAATTAATCTTTCGAAAGAACTCTGTTACACTAGTTTGCCTCAAAGCACATTGCTGCTGCTCAGACTGTTCAATAAGCTTTTTTAGAGAAAAATTGCCTGCAATGCTTTTTAATCACTTTCGTTTTGTAGTCAGAAGCTTTTTAAGGTATCGAATGGCTCTTGCTTCCTTATTTGACACCTCTGCCAAAGGTTCTGATGTATCGTCTTCATCTTCATCGTTGGTTTTTTCATTTGTATCCGTCGCAGATAAAGTTTTGCCATCGGTTGGTGAACCTGAGACAGCAACATCTTCATCCACTTGAACAAAGTCAAAAAAACTTACACCACTGATGTCAACTAGTGGTTCTATTGCTGGTTCTTCATCATCCATAATTGTTGAAAGATTTTCCTGATCTTCTTCTATGAAACCGGTCTTTTAGAAGCAGTTGAGAATCGTTAGAGGTGATACCGCTCTCCATGCACTGTCAATCATTCAAATAACTGTCAAAATCGTGATATTCACAGTTAGCTGCTAGTTGAGAGATTCTAAAACGAGCACTAGATGTAATTACAATCTTTCTGTCTCCTTCTATGAAACCGGTCTTTTAGAAGCAGTTGAGAATCGTTAGAGGTGTTACCGCTCTCAATGCATTGTCAATCAGTCAAATAACTGTCAAAATCGTGATATTAACAGTTAGCTGCTAGTTGAGAGATTCTAAAACGAGCACTAGATGTAATTACAATCTTTGTCTCCTTCTATGAAACCGGATTTTTAGAAGCAGTTGAGAATCGTTAGAGGTGTTACCGCTCTCCATGCATTGTCAATCAGTCAAATAACTGTCAAAATCGTGATATTGATAGTTAGCTGCTAGTTGAGAGACTGTTAAACGAGCACTAGATGTAATTACAATCTTTCTGTCTCCTTCTATGAAACCGGATTTTTAGAAGCAGTTGAGAATTGTTAGAGGTGTTACCGCTCTCCATGCATTGTCAATCAGTCAAATAACTGTCAAAATCGTGATATTCACAGTTAGCTGCTAGTTGAGAGATTCTAAAACGAGCACTAGATGTAATTACAATCTTTCTGTCTCCTTCTATGAAACCGGTCTTTTAGAAGCAGTTGAGAATTGTTAGAGGTGTTACCGCTCTCCATGCATTGTCAATCAGTCAAATAACTGTCAAAATCGTGATATTCACAGTTAGCTGCTAGTTGAGAGATTCTAAAACGAGCACTAGATGTAATTACAATCTTTCCGTCTCCTTCTATGAAACCGGATTTTTAGAAGCAGTTGAGAATCGTTAGAGGTGTTACCGTTCTCCATGCATTGTCAATCAGTCAAATAACTGTCAAAATCGTGATATTCACAGTTAGCTGCTAGTTGAGAGATTCTAAAACGAGCACTAAATGTAATTACAATCTTTCTGTCTCCTTCTATGAAACCGGATTTTTAGAAGCAGTTGAGAATCGTTAGAGGTGTTACCGTTCTCCATGCATTGTCAATCAGTCAAATAACTGTCAAAATCGTGATATTCACAGTTAGCTGCTAGTTGAGAGATTCTTAAACGAGCACTAGATGTAATTACAATCTTTCTGTCTCCTTCTCTCTGCAACTTTGAATTGTCGAGTGTTTGACTCCGATGAGTTCGAATTAACGCGTCGTTTTGTTACGTAGCAAAGACTTTTTTGTTCGAATTACCAAGTGCGTAAAAATGTATTGATTTAGTTCGAATAATAAAGAGATTTTGTAGGGAACTCTTGATAACTTTGAATTACAGAGAGGTTCGAATTGTCTCCAGTTCGAATTAACGAGAGTCGACTGTATTTGACTTATTCCAATCTAATGTTTCTTATTTTCTCCTTATTTTTTAGACAATTCTTTGATGGTAAAAGCGACAGACAATTTTTAAGCAAGTTTCCCAAAAAACACATGAAAAATATGAATGAAAAATTTGTAATTTTACATTATTACATAATCGGTTATTTTCGTAGATTTTCACAGCAATTTTAAGTGTACAACACAACATTTAAGTGGTAGAGCCATACTGCTGTTATATTAGTAGTATAGTTGTAGCACGAATGGGCAGCTCGACCGGGGAAGGACCACGCTCTCAAAGAATATCAGCGTAAAATAGCAGCTAAATGCTGCTGTGTTTCGTATACAGAGTGTACCTACTGGAAACGAGGCATTTTATCTTAGTTCTCACGGGTGACAACGCATCTGCATTTTGATTCGTAATCAAGGATAGATGTCTGCAAATGACACAGCAACTACTTACCATCATGTGGACTGTGTGCTCGTTTGTCACCCTATCCTATATAAAAAAGTGATACTATGGATAGAATAAGCATGAATTTAATAATTTTTGGACAAAGTTAAACAGAATTAAACACAATCAATAAAATTTAAACCAGCACTTGAAAGAGCTTTTTACCTGTGATGCATGATGATTGACTATCTTAACAAAGTTAACTTTAAACTTAACTTTTTTACCCCTAAAACTAAACATCTTAAGTAACTCCTTAAGTTCCTTATAACACCTCGAGTTTTCGATTTCACGTACTCAATTTTAGTTATCTGGTATTTCGTATGTATTCCTTATTACAGTTATGTGCGTAAAGTAGTTTCTAAGAAAGACGTCTTCTTTCTTCGTTCAGTCAGAGAGACGGACACAGAAGTAACTTTATAAGCTTTTCCAGTTTTCCAATTTTGACACGGAAAACTTTGACAAACAACAAGCGAACAGTAAACAAAATAAAGAATTCAGCGTAATCTATACGGCATTAAAAACAAAAAGTTATATATGTATGTTATAAATGTTTGGAAGCTTTTTGCTTTTTCGACTTAAAAGAATCTTTATTTCCATTTCTACCTGACACTCGGTACTCTCACATGCCACTCGGTATCCTTAAATATTTTATCAACTTCATAATACTCATACTCGTAATTTATATTAGGGACTTATTGACTAAAATCTATCCCGCAATCAAGTGAATTTGATAAATGTTAAGATAAAATATTTGAAAAGTTAAACAATTTCTCGATTTATGTTTCAAATCTACAGAAATAAATGAGCGACTTTAAATGGAAGATTGTCATTGAATATGTGCTCTTTTTTCGTTGTGCAATGTGATAGACACTTTTAGGTCTTTTACCGCCATCTCGTTAAATTCCTCAAATTAGGCCAAAGGAATCGGAAAGAGAGATTTAAAAAAAAATATCTTGATCTTTGCCTGAATTATCGTCTTAAAAATAATAAGCCGAAAATTCTCATGCACATACACGTGACTAAGGATTACGTATAAGGATATTAGAAATCCACCTCGGATGCGTGGTGTATATGAAACATTCTGTCAAGGAGACTTAATACGCAGACTCTAATGATATTAATAGTCACTGTCAAATTTTAACCGTTATCTTCCCGGTTGTTAAATTTACTTGACTCTGCGGTGGCGTCTAAATAACCCACTTAGAGCACTCGAATGCCGAAATAAAACAGACTTTTAATACTCGGACATGACTAGCAATTCTCTGCTGCGGTATGCAACGTTTAATACAAAATATTAACAGTTGGTACATTCAGTACATTAATTTTTGAAATAAACCATATTATCAACGGATCCAACACAGTAAAACCTCTATTCCCCCTATATCACGAACGTTGAAAGTCAGACGAAGGGACAACGGCTTCACTTGCTTTCAGAGGCATGGGGATGAAACTCCGCCAACTATCTGACTCCGGGCTGCTTTTGAAAATTTCTTGACAAAGAACCCAGTAACTGATGTTGACCCGATCCCGGATTCGAAACCAGGACCACATGATCAGCAATCGCTTTTACGACCACTAGACCAATGAGGCAGTCAAGTATATAAAATATATATGAAATGTCACCTTAGAGAACTAGCAACTGAGATACATAATATTTGTAGCTTGCTAATTGCACATAGTATTTTTATATTGCATCTATTATAGTCAAACTAGAATCTAGTATTCCTATAAGAGAGTAAGAATGAATACGTACCTGTTTGTGTTTAAAGTAAATTTCTTCATCACAATCTTTATCATCCCGTGGTTAAGAGTCTCCCCCGTAAAATCCCTTAAATATTCATCCAGGTTTAAAAAATAATTTTGTAATCAAGGTTTTAATTTAACTGTAGCTGCATTCTGCAGCTTAGTCTGTCTCCGCAAGCTTCGTAACTAAAAGTGTAAAATATTTTTCACATAAATGGGCACTGTACAAAATTTTCACTGACATATTGAATGAAGAATTTTGTTTAGTACAAAATTCGGTTGCCTTGTAGACGAACTGAAGTCCCATCACCGCTTTTATATTGTCTCTTAAAGGGCCCATTGTATTCCCGTTGAGGTTTGTTTATTCAATGAAGGGACGGAAGAGAGAAACGTATATTATTACGATGTTGAAAAACCAAAAGTAATGTCGCACGAGACTCATGAAAGTAGATTTTATTGTTGATCGATGGGGACGCATTCGTAAAATATAATTTAAATTGCCTAGTGCGATTGTTTTCAGTTACTGAGTACATAATATAGTATTGCCTTTATCATGTGTTTGTCATGGTTACTATGACAAGTGACAACTACTTATTATTAATTTAAAATACTATTTTATTATTATAAAAATTAAATAGTTCCGTTACTGAAGCTATCATCACACATTAATAAGACTCAACGAATGGCCGATCACGTACCACGTTTCGCAAGTTTTTACTAGCATCATTAACCATTACAAGTCCACTGCTCAACATAGGAGTTCCGCTAGAAATGCCACAATGTTCCTGAGTCACTTGCAACCATCGATTTCTAGTATCTCTCATCTGTGCGTCATTCCATTTCACTTGCCCGTACGAGGCTAGCACTCGAGAACCTTTCTTCCTCATCGGTTTTTGGTTCATCTAGCTGTAGGTACGACTGACTCATTGCCATTTCAGCTCATTGGATTAGGTTGGCCAGTCGGTTATTGCAGATATTCTCATTACGAAATCTATTACGCAGAGAAACTCCGAGCATAGCATGTTTAGGCTTATCTCCTCATAATTTTAAAAAGGTGCTATGGTAAACACCTAGTAATCCACCAGTAAATCTATGAAGAGATATAGAATAACAGCGTAAAATATCAGCTTAATGTTGTTGTATTACGTATGGTAAGTGTAGAGAACCGGAGACCATATTTGCTGGCCATTTAATTATTTCGCTATATCCACTTTCAACATCTACATAGTCACATTAGACGAGGACGAACATTGTATAATAGTGATTAAAGTTCACTTACAGGTAAGTTACTTTCATCATACCATTATTATTATTAACGCCTCGTCTAATGTGACTATGTAGATGTTGAAAGTGGACATAGCGAAATAACGAAAATAACGG